TTTTCGCATGATGACGATTTCGCTGTACAGCGATTTTCCTGGTACGGATTATTGTTGTCATGCGGGGCACCACTGTATCACAACTGTAGCCAAAGTTGGATTTAAACACCTTTTCTCTTGAGATGGGGAAAAACCACTTCTCCATTCAACAACGCTAGAATTAGGGGTGCCAGATCCCTGTGTAGTTAAAAATCCTTGTATAACTCTTATGCCCCTCCAAATGTAATATAGAATTGTTTTACTTTTTGGGGGGCATAAGAGTATTACATGAATGATGTAAGAGTATAATAATATTCTCTCTTTTAGCTGTCTATAAAGAGGTCCTAAGCCACTTTAAAGGCAGCTAAAGGACAGAAAATATCTTGGTCAAAGAGCAAAAAATGGAGGCGTGATCTCTCCTCCTTCCCTCCAACGGAGTGGGGAAAAATCCACCTATAACCAAAACTGTGCTGCTCAGACCCATACAAATCAGCGGAGACGGAGAAACGGCTGTACTGGGCCAAGGCTTATGCAAACAGAGGATGATTCATTTCCCTCATGCACAGAGTTTGATGTAGGCATTTCCTCCTCCCCTTGCAATATCCTTGCCATTTACAGCATCAAAACATGAACAGAAAGCTTTAATTGGAGTAATAATTTTCAGTTCGAGTTCAATTATTTACAGCTGGAGGTCACAGATGTTTATGGTTCTTTTAAATTTTAAGTACAATAATCCATATCTTTGATAATTGGAGACTTTAGCCCATAGATTAAACAGAGTGTACTTTAATGTCAAATACTATTATCCAAGTCTTTCCCTTTAAATGATTTGTCAGCACGAAAGCTCAGACATGATAGTCTTGTTATAAAACGATACCATTCATTTAGTTAAATATTTAGCAAAATATATTATGTTGCTAAATGCTATGATTCAGGAGGAAGACAAATGAGAGATGGGCCAAGGAGGACAGGCCAGTTCAAGTGCTGCTACATCCAGTGCCTCTATGGCGGTTTCTCTGCAGGCACAAGCTTGGTGGAAATATGCAGGAAATTCTGCACAAGGCATAGAAAGTGCAGTATTCCTAAAAACAGAACATTCTGGCCAGCAATAAAATGTAGACAGTCGCCAAATGCAGGACAGCTGAAGAGGACAAGGGGTGAAGTGGCAACCTGGTCCACACTGAAATCACCAATGCACATTTCAGCGAGTCACCAGAATCGCAACGGAGCCAGACTCACAGGATCACAATGGTGACACGCTTTGTTTTGCGGGGACAAGAGGATCATTGAGGTCCTGATCCCGCAGCTCCTTTCTTTCCTCTTAGTTTAGCTGCCCTCTCCATAGTACTGAGAATACATGTTTCTGAGCCATCCGTGCCGCAATGGAAAATATTTTTATGTGGCTTGTTTTTGAATGAACAATTAAGACTCCCTAGCTTTATAAAAGACTCACTTCTAGTGGAATGCCAGGACTGGTTTCATGACATGGATCAACTTCTTGTACTCTTGCGCCCTTGTTATACGCCTCAGGCATGGTGAGCATGTGGGGACTTGAAACAGAATCATCTAAGATATGTTAGACATAGAACTGATAATTAAAAGGATATATGAAAGTCCCTGTTTCTTAACTCAATTAGTTTTTAAATGAAAGCTGACCTCTCTTTACCACCGTGCCCTATTTGTGAAAAGGGATTCAAACAGCACGGAAGTGGAATTCTTCTAAATCTGAGAACTTTCAGGAATTGGAAGAGGGTTGCAGGCTTGGTTGATGGCAGTCACATGGTCAGACAACAAGGAACCACCTCCTTTTATGGCCACAAATCTTGGGGGTGGAGCTTTGAAGTAGCTACCACATGACTTCTGGTCATCTGGGTCCACTCCCAAAAAATACATGCAAAGAAGGAAGACTAGACCACCAACACCTGGGGTAAGGGTTCTCCAAGTGCAAATAAGCTGTGCAAATACACTATCATTTAACTGAGAGGTTCAAGACAAAGTGCAAAGAACCCTTAGATAAACTCACTGTTTGCTGATTGTGCTATTGCTTCCTGGGGTTGCTAGGAATTCTCTGGGTGAGTATGTTTTACAGTTTGACAAGACTGTTATCAGATATTTGTGTATTCCTGGTTTAAAGTTCAAATGCACTTAATCACCAAAGACTGTGATTTCAACTTCACTAACACTGCAGCTTTTCTCCATCATTCTGAAGGCATAAACAGCGGAACAAAACCATTCCCATTATATTTTAGATGGACACCTTTGCATTTAGCCACAAGAAGCCTACAAAGCCACTGTTTGCAGGCTACTGATCTGCACTTAAAATACAAAGACTGCCTTGATACCTGAAATAAAAGGCACGTCTAGCATACAAAACTTAGCACTGTACTTGAGACAGAACCTCCAAGCTTGTAATTAAAAAAAAGCAACTGCATTGCATAAAAGGTGACTAGTACTTACTGTAAATTTAAACTTACTGGCTGTAGTATCTTCAGCCCAATGCACTACACAAAGCATTGAAGAGTCAAGGATCCCTTACCTTCCAAAACGTGAGCCCAGGATGTTCCACTGTCGAACCAGATATCCAAGATGTCCTGGCCTGTTACGTAATCCTGGACACTATCATTATCAGCCTGATTCAGAAACAGACAGAGAGGAAAATGAAGTAGGGTGCTATAGGTCACTCAAACAGGTTTTCATTCCAGTCACATTTGTATCTTCTATGTATGTAAACTCAGGAAGATTTGTTACAGCATAGCCCTTTTTAATTTAATGCTCATGGAATGGGGGAATAAGCGTGTTAATTTATTTCAAATTTTTGTTAATGGCCCAGAAGAGGTTTACAAAAAGAAAAAAGCAAACTTGATAAAATGACACATTTTCAAATCAAATCACTGGTGTGTTATTAGAATCTGAAAGATGGAAATAAAATTTAAACAATACAATGAGAATCAGCATCTACATCATGGACTACAATGGACTACTGTCCCACCTGAAAGTCTAACCCATCTATTACTATATAAACGTCCATGAACTACAATCTATTGCATTGGATACATGAAACAATATACTCAGTTGGGAAGTTAATGCACACGCATCTGCCAATTATGACATGCACCCAAACATATGCATGTACACGTGTACGTATAAACCTGTATTAGAAACTCATTTGTTCCATCCACCATCCTACGGCATTCTCTCTTCTTTCTGTACCCCAACATTTTTTCCATGCTAGTCTCTTTTGGTATCTCCACCTCAGTATTCATTTCCACTCATGCAGAAATGGAGCACACTGTACTCCATGGGGCAAGGGAAGACTACTTTCATAGTTACATTTGCCCAATTTGACAATCCCACATTGCCTGAAATCCTACTGCTTAGCATAGTAAGTTCCAACTACAGTAAACCCACTGAATCAATGGAACTTACGGAGTAGATGACTCACCAAATCCCCACTGATTCAATGGGCCTAATTGCAACTTACTGTGCTAAGCAATGGGATTTCAGTCACTGTTTGTATGCATGTGTATCAGACACTGGCTGAAATCTTGTTGCACTGTTACACAAAAGGTGCAGCTATGGGAGGTGAACTGCTTTAAGTCAAAGAATTCCACAAACATTGGCTGTTGCACACTCAGGAACACGACTAAGTATGCAACGTATAGTACCTACACAGATTTCTTAACCTGAGACAAGCTGCCTCTAAAGGTTAGGCCATAGCAGTGCAACAGGATTTTAGACAATGTCTCTCATAAGAACCAGTAGCTAGCACAGCCCTGTACGACAACCTAGTTCTGGATTATCTTTACCTACTCTTTGGAGCACCACTAAAGGTAGGATCTGACATATCCCTGATCTGCCAGACCTCTGAACTCATCTGGATCCTGCTCCGTAGTGGAAAACTTTAGCCATTTCCTACGCAAATTTCCTACAAAGAACAGGTGCTCACAAATGGGACTGCCTTGAATTACCTTTGCCAATGCTTCACTGGGAAGAAGCTGTTCAATGGGAAGAGTCCACCAGGCATCACTGCCGTGCTGCTCCACCACTTTAATAACATTCTCAATGCTTTTTCTGTGACAAAAACAATAGAAAGGGACCATTAGATTACTGCTATACATTTTTCAAAAAGTGCTGCAACTGGGAAATATTTTGGATTGGAAGCAAAGCTATGGAAATTGTACTTACATTAAAATGGTATTCATGACCATGGATAATGTTAGAAAGTCAATAAAAGTACCAATAAAAGAAACGGCAAATTATGTCTTTACACTGCCCGCAGGGATTTTGTCCATCAGCCAGAAAGTTTCTAAATCTCATAATGCTTGATATTTAACATGACATGAACTTTTCTGGCTATGCTCCATCTGTGTTTGTTTAGTCTTTCTACTTTACAGACTAAAGCCACATACCCACTCCAGCAATATACAGTATCAGGACACCTGCTTGAAGAGGAATAGCAGACAGGATAGGAAAGACAGGACTGGAGAGAAACAAATTCAGAATCTCTACTCAACCATGAAACTCATCAGGTGACTTCAGGCTCAATGAGAAGAATAAAAATGCTATCACACTGAACTTTTAATTGCTATGTGACTGCTAATTACACATTCTTACCATCACACTAGCCATTTAACCGTACATACTAATGATTTTCACAGCCTTGAAGATGATGAATTATCACTGAAAGTTGGCTGTTTCTTTTTTGTGTGTGTGTTTTTTGTTTATATTCTTAATGGTTGATTAAAGGTATCGCCTGCTCCTGCATTTGTATTTTTAAAACAACGTTTTTGAAGATTCTCTAAAAATACAACATGACACATATTATATTGTTCAGAGAAATGCTACAACTCTACTCTTAAAATTGTTTGCTACTGACACAACCTATTACAACATGCTCTTCTACAAACACGATAGTGTTAATATGTATCCCCACTGTCATCAGACTATAAAGGAATATTGTGCAAAAATGGCTTTCATTGACAGCTATTATAGCAAGACCAGCACCCATGACATTGTCTATAGCTAGCAATCACAAAGATCCCATGCTTGCTTCTAGAAGTTTTAATAAGCATACATGGAGATAGCCAGCAGATACTGCACATACCCTCACTAAAAGGAAGCAGCATTATAGTCTTTCAAATAACACAATATTTAGAATAAAAATACCACAAGAGTTTATGCACACCCATCTAAGTTTGATTTTATTTTCACTCTCCCATGCAAATAAATATATAGAAAACTAGAGGATTCTTCTGAAAACTAATCTTGTGATTCCTCTCCTTGCCTTACAATTTTAAAATGTTTTCTAAAAGTCATGAACCCCAATAGTTGAGTAAATCAAACTTGGGTTTTCACATAAATCTACTGTTTCTGCTTCCATAAAAATATTTGAAAAAAAATGTTTTTGTTTAAGCCTCATTATTTTTGCCTACTTCTATTATCACAATTTGCCACTGTCCAATTATTGCAAAAAGAGCTGTCTATGGATCTCTGCCTTCTACAGAACATTGCCATCTATTCATCTGTCTTTAGCTAAGAAAATAAAAAGGCTGGTAAGTGATAAGGAAGCTGTATTATATCACAGTAAATATCACATGTTCTGAGAAATCCAAAGGCCAATAACAATATAGCAATACTTGGCATGATTAGATTTTTAGATATTCCACTCTGCAAATTGCTCAGGAGTTAACAGCTAGCTGCAACTGTGTCTTTAACTTATATTAAAATGTGTATAATAACTGTGTGCTATCAAGTAAATTCTGACTTATATTGACTCTTTTCAGAATTTTCTACGTAGAGTACTGAGTAGTGATTTACCATTCCCTTCCTCTGGAGGCATCTTGGGTCTGTGGAGCTTGCCCAAGACTACACAGGTTGGACCCTGAAAAGAGTTGCCGTAAGTCAGAATTAACTAGATGGCACATAATGATGGTGATGATGATGATGATGATTATAGTTCAACAAACAATCTTCATATAAGCAAGCTTCTAGACAGTGATTTGTTGGGAGAGATTAGAACAGCTTCTAGGTAAGAAACGGAAACATATCAAATGATAAAATGATAAACAGAAGATGGACAGGCACCTTTTCGTGGAACAGAAATTGGGTTTTTTATGAAACATTTGATGTTTGGTGGGGACAATTCTCTGTTGCTGCTCCCAGACTCTGGAACTCCCTCCCACAGGTTGGGCCCATTTTTGTGGTTCTTCCGCAAGCACGCAAAGACCTTTCTCTTCACATAGGCTTTCTTTTAAACCACTGACTGAGCAAGGGGATTTTTAAAGGGATTATTGTATTCTGTTATTTTACTTGTGCTTTTAATATTGCTCTTATTGGTAAACTTTATCTGTTTAATTCTTTTTTAATATTGTAATAATTTATCATCTTAGCTTTTATCTTTGTTTCTTTTAATACTGTAAGCCACCTTGCATCCAAGGAGAAAGGTAGTACAGTGGTGCCTCGCACAACGGGTGCCTCACACAACGATGAATTCACACAACGATGCCTTTTTCTGTTAAATTTGCCGCCTCACACAGCGATGTTTCCTATGGGGGATTTTCACACAACGATCTCCCTTTTCGCTCCTGTAAAAGTGTCTTACAATGTTTGGAAGCCGTTTTAAATGCTTGCAATGGTTAGCCCACCTCCTGAAACCTATGCAAACTGATTTTGGTGTTGTTCTGACACTTCGTTAATTTATGATGATTTTTTGAATTTTCTCCATTGGAAACCATTGTATGGTCTGTCTAATGGTTTCCAATGGAGAAAACAAAAAATCATCATAAATTAACGAAGTGTCAGAACAACACCAAAATCAGTTGGCATAGGTTTCAGGAGGTGGGCTAACCATTGCAATCATTTAAAACAGCTTCCAAACATTGTAAGACACTTTTACAGGAGCGAAAAAGGACTTCGCAAAGCCATTGAAATGTATTGAGTCGGCTTCAATACATTCCAATGAAGGAAACACTGTTTCACACAGCGATGTTTCCTATGGGGATTTTCACTCAGCGATGGCAATCTGTTCCAAATGGAACGGATTAACTGGTTTTCAATGCATTCCTATGGGAAATGCTGTTTCACAGAACAATGTTTCACACAACGTTGATTTTTTTGGAACCAATTAACATCGTTGTGTGAGGCACCACTGTATATAAATATGTTAAATAAATAAACACATACATTTTACCTGAATACAGACATCCTTAAGAATCTTGTCTTTTCATTCGTCCCCCTTGCTTCTATGTCTTGGACATTTTGCTGTTGCATATTCAGATTTTGCAACTGTATAGACTAGACAGTAACTTTAAAGTAGTAATTCCTGGATGGCCAAACATCCTGCCAAACCTTCTGCAATCAAACCTACATTTATTGCAAAAACTTCAGTTTTTTTTTTAAAAAAAGTTAAACCAACAAACCTGTTCTGATTTACTTATTCATCAAAATTATTAGGAACTTGCTGTTTTTGTAATCAACAGATTAATAACTTCGCTGAAACCATTTTATAGAACGTTAATTTTGCATAATGTTCCAGGGAATATATGTTACTTGATAACATTAAAATCCTTCCTGGGAAACATCTATGTTTACTTTCTGTCAAAAGCTAACGCCTGCAGCTTTTGCCAACATGTATAGAAATATCAAAAATGTGCTTTCCAATTTTCATCTGCACACTCCATATCTTGAAAAATGAAGGCAAAAGTTCCCTCTACAGTGTACATTCAACATCTTCCTCAAATAATACTTATCACTCTACGAATGGCAAGCTTCTGTTGCAGAACCATAATTCACAATGTAAGCAAAAGAACCCTGTTGTAAAACTTTGCCCTGCCTTTGTATGCCATATCGGGTAGAACTCCCATTACGTGTCATTCTCTAGTTTTCTCGCATGAAAATTCACAGCAGCAATTCACGCTACCATGACGCCAACCAATCACTTTGAACCATGATACTGATTAGGTCAAATGCTTATTTAGTGGGAAATTAGGCAGGGCAGCACTGAGATGTTTTCCACAAATTGAAAAGAACAGTTGCTGATGATCACTGCTCCTGTCTTCAATACAATCAGGAATGCGAGGTAACCTCTATTACATACCTTCCAAGCCATTTTAGAAGATAGATACTATATGTTTACAGGAAATGGGGCATATTTAGTACTGTGAGAGCTACAGAGATTTAAGAATAAGATTATCTCAGGCAATTTGAAGTTTCTTCTAATGAATGGAAGGATAACCACAACCAGCTAGTAGGAGAATAAGGATAATTTCATATGGACCTCAACAAGTTGGGAGTACTAAACAAGCAGTTGATTTAGGAAAGAAAATATTTCAATTTAAATAAGAACCATGGATTATCTGAGATTGGATCAACTAGAACGTATTTTTCTTATTTGACTAAATGAATGAAGAATCTAGTGGAAGAAATGTAAATTAACCAGCAAATGTTTATATACTGCTAGTTTTCAATATCTTATAATTTATTATTTTCACTTGCTGAGTTTTCTTATAGAATGACTCCATTTCCAGTTCAGATTTCGTACATTTTAAACTCACCAAACCATGGAAACCACTCCCTTTTTCTAAAGCAAGAATATTCACTCATATTTTCGTATATGAAGAAGCTACAAATTATACATTTTCATTAACAAAAATGGTATGAAATAGTTTTATCTATCATTATGTATAAGACCTTAAAAAGTAATTCAATTTCAAAATTACAATTTCCTCAAATTGTCATTTGTCTATGGTGATAAGGTTAATGTTTTTTGGTTTTAGTTTTGTTTTTAACAGAAATGTGTGCACCCCTAAACTCAACATTCCTCAAACCAGGAAAGAGTCATTCTAGAAGGACATACTGTATCTACATCCAGGATTTTTTCAAGTATATTCGATGAGCTATTGGTTTGTGCTGCCGCATACTCTAGTTGCATACTATATGCATGGAGCACTAGTAACATATCAGATTCTTAGAGCAACACAGTACTGAAGAGAAGTGGGAGAGGGGGAAAGCTACATGCTCCTGATTTTGAACTTTAAGAGGGATTTAAGAGATGAACATTTCTAAAAAGGTAG